CGTGGCGACGCTCGAGCTGCCGGACCACACACCACACACTGAACAGCCAGGTTAGAGGACAGCCTCTTGTTGACCTAACAGGGACGGCTCCGAAGACAGCACCCCTCAGCGCCCCCGCTCATCCAGCTCGCAGTGCCTTACTCTTTCCCAAGCCTGCACACTCTTGCCACTTTGTTAGAGTCTCAGGCCGGTGAGACGGATCAGCAAGGTGGAGGCTCTGCTCCTCACTTTTTAGGTTAGGAAATGAGTACACAGAGGGAGAGCCAGGTCACCTGATCCAGAGCCAGCTCACCCTTGGCACAGCCTGTGGGGATCACTTGGAGAGCTCCCTGCCTGGCATGTGGCAGAGCTGATCCTGTTTGAGATACGGAAGGGGCCACAAGGAGAAAGGGGCTTTCCAGGGACCCTTGCTGGCCAAATAGGACATAGACCCAGCCCTCTCCACTGAAGATCTTTTATTGTTTTTCTCTTAATGAGTCCCACATTTGGGTTTGTCCTCTACATTGTATTTCTCCATTGTTCCTTAATCAGTGGCTTCTGTAACTGTCCACCAGAACTTCTGATGAAGAAACCACCAGTTTTCAGCCTAACTTGATTCCAACCAAAAGCAGAGACTCCCATGGAGTATTCCCCAGGCTGTGGCTCCATGGAGATAAGTCATTCTGGGCTAAAAAGAGCTCTACAGTCAAATATACTTGCAATGTGGTAGATTCTATCTGCATGTTACAGTCCACCTAGGAAGTTCAGGATGCACATTAGCACATTAAAGGCTGTAAAATTTTGTTTTGAAGATCCTCCTTAACTGGATTTTCCATGTGTATTTGACCACAACCCTTTGCTGGAGAACATGTATAGAGTCCACAGAACACTGAGGCAATGCTGAATCACGTACTTCAGTTAATAAGGTGGTTGGTTAATGTCCTACCTCTGCTAAGTTTTTGGAATAGCTGAGGTACTGCATTAGTTCCTCCAAGGGTCTTTAGGTGTTGGGATTCCCAGGTTGGGAACTCTTGCTGGAAAGGTAATGAACAGAGTGCTAGGCTGGGCAGGGGTAGGGGAGGGGGAAGAGGCTACTTTAGCTAGGGTGGCAAGGGACAACCTTTCTGAGGAGGTAAGACCTACATTCAGACCTGAATGAAAAGAAGTGGCAAGCTATGAGCAGGTCTGAGGGAAAGCATTCCACGAAGAGGTGACAGCAAGTGCAAGGGCCCTGAGGCAGGACCAAAGTAGGCTTCCTCCGATGCCAAGGCTGTTCCTGGGGGCCTGAGGTCACAGGGCACAGGGCTAAGAACTCTGGATAGACTACCCCGGAGTAGGCCAGGCAAAGCAGCCTTTCTCAGTGGGAGCAGAGCATCACTGATTCAGGGGAAAGGAAGACAGCAATGAAACCTCTGTCCTGTCTCTACCTGCAGGGCATCTGAGGAGGCTTTCGTGAAGGAATCCAAGGAGGAGACGCCAGGCACAGAGTGGGAGAAGGTGGCTCAGCTGTGTGACTTCAACCCCAAGAGCAGCAAGCAGTGCAAAGACGTGTCCCGCCTGCGCTCGGTGCTCATGTCCCTGAAGCAGACGCCGTTGTCCCGCTAGGTGCCTGTCACAAGCATGGCCACAAAGCATGGGCTGGGCCTGGGCACAGGAGGAGCCGCTGCTTCGGCCAGGATTGGGGCACAGCGCCTCCAGCAGCTGCTACCCACAGCCTGTTCTGTTCCTCCCCATCTCCTGAGGCTGGGAAGGGGAACCCTCCCCCCTGTCACCCCATTCCCTCCTGGCCCTGTGGCCCAGCCCCTCACACCTCCTCTCGGTCCACAAAATTGTGACTGTCCCTCCTGATGTATTTTTTTTTTCTTGGCTTAAAGGGTGTGTTGTTAACTCTTTTTACACTTATTTATTATCATTCTCATTTCTCTGGAAGCCATAACTGGTGTCAGGGCTCAGTTTGTGCTTAGAATTTTCCCAGCTTCGTGGCCTTGGGAGAAGGTGAGGCTATCCCCCTGGAAATTGTCCCAGCTGGAAGGAGGTGTCCCAACCTGTGTATGTCTGCTGCCCCCCTCTCCAGGAGGAAAGACAATCTCTAATGGAATGCTTTTGCAACCCTGATCCTTTCTGATCCTTCAATAAGCCTGTGATTTAAGGATTCTGTTGTCGTCGTCATGTAGCCATGGTCACCAAGGCTCCCAGACAGTCAGAAGTTTTAAGTGGGAGGGAAGAGGCAAGACCAGAGGTTCCCAATGGTAGCGCCCTCTAAGTCCGGGTCGAGGCTGGTGAAGGTAGCTGCTGCCAGACTCCGTTCCTTGGGTTTGGCCAGTACCCTCTGGATGTGGAAGGCTCACCGCTCTCCCTCCTTCAGCTGTCCTCCACCCTGTAGATTTGGGATAAATACTCAGTGACCACACCTTCTTATTCAGCAGAAGTTGCAAACAGGCTGTGTTTAAGCCACTGTGACCTGCACAATGTTTAAAAAGATTTGAGTAACTGCCAACTGTCTTTATTTTCCTAGAGCTGCCATAACCAAGTACCACAGTGTCTGGCTTAGAACAACAGAAACTTACTGTCTCACCATTCTGGAGGTCTGAAGTCCGAAATCAAGGTGTCAGCAGAGTCACAGTCCACCTGAAGGCACTAGGGAAGGATCTGTCGTACAGACTTCTCTCCCAGCTTCCGGCAGCCTCAGGCATTCTGTGACTTGTAGGTGCATCACTACAATCCTGAGCTGATCTTCACATCATCTATGCATTGTCTGTCTTTGTGTCCAAATTTCCCCTTTTTATAAGGACATCATCAGAATGGATTAAGGCCTACTCTAATGACCTCATTTTAACTTAATTACCACTGTAAAGACTCTATTTCCAAGTAAGATCACATTCTGAGATTCTGGGTTAGGACTTCAACATATCTTTTTTAGGAGAACACAGTAACACCAACAGCTAAAAATAGTGGCCTTCCTCTTTAGAAGTGCCATAGTCCTCACCACTTCCTATGCCCTTGAATCCATCATCACGATGTACTGCTTTACATTTATAATCTCTGCCTTACAGCTGAGAGACCATGATGGGAGCAAGAAACTTAGTGGGGCCCTTCTCATACACTCCTCCACTTAGAAAGTTAGACTGTGTTAGGGGGCCCAAAAAGTGGGTGTATCTTACTTCCTCTTTCCTTTCTGGCAGCTTGCAGCTGGTGTTGAAATTGATGGGAGTCACACATGGAAGGAACCTGGGTCCCACCGAATCAACACTTTAGATCTGACCACAGTCCAGGAATATATGTTTGAGACTTTACATGAATGAGAAACTCAAGGTTGTCTCTTGTAGAGTTCACTCAAGGTCCCCAGCCTCTTCTTCCTTAACCCTAAAACACTAGGTACACAAACCAGTGGCAAGCTTTGTGACTATGCTCTTACCACTCCACCAGGCTGCTCCTCTGAGCCTCAGTTTCCTGTTCCGTAAGATGCATCAAGAACCAAGCAGAGATGGTCTACATCAGTGGAGCCCTAGATGCTCTCAGGAGGTGGGAGTGGGGTGAGGAGCAGAAGCAAAGTGGAGGGGCAGAGCCCCCCTGCCTCCGACAGGGCCATGGCCGGCCTCATCTCAAGGAAGGTTTTCCTGTTGAAAGTTTGAAAATTGTTGGAAAGATCAGTTTTTTTCAAATAGCACCACTCTATGGAATCTCTACTTTTAACAAGTTCCCCAGGTGATTGTTGGCAGAAAAGTTTGGGAATCATTAGACTCTTAAGATTTCTAGGGGCCCCTACAGTCTTTAGACAACCTCCTCCTAAAACCAAAGACCAAAAACCCTGGGGGGCTAGACTGAGAATGAATTCACCAAACTACAAGTGGATCAGTTTATTAAGTAGGAAGAAAGTGGGGCACAAATAGAACTATGCAACACCCAAACTGAACCGAATCAGATTCCTGAAAAAACACCTGTCAGTTACACAATTGGCCACTTCCTCCCCCGCTGATACAGGGGCTTGTCAGGGGAGTCGTGGGAATAAGTCAGGTAGCGGAACCGGTGGTTGCTCCTGGGGCTGGGAATGGTCTCTGTGTAACTTTCACGGCCAGGTCTCGGACTCAGGATCGCGACTTCATAGCAGATGCAGCCAGACCCAGCAAAACGGCTGCGACCGTGAAGCCCTGGGCAGCGATCCGGGTGCGCATCATGAGCTGAGAGCGGTGGCTCTGACCCCGGTGGAAGCAGTAGAGGCCGTAGGTTAGGGCGGCCGCCGTGCTCAGGCAGCCTGAGGAGGGGACAAAGTAAGTGGGGAGTGGCACGTTCCGGCCCCGGAGGCCCCTCCCCGCTGTGGGCCTCCCGTACTCAGAGTCCAGAGCTCCGAACTACTGCTGAGGGTAAGGGGGTAGAGCCTAGTGGGTGGGTCTGGTCGAGGTAGGGTCCTCCCAGTTACAGGGCTCGCCCCATCTCAGCCCCCCAATCCCGCCCAGCTCCCGCTCCAATCAGGATCACCTCTCACCGCCCGGCCCCATCGCCACAGCTCCGGTCCGCTCTCACTCCCGTCCCCCTTCGCTTTCCCAGGCCTTCCCTAATTCATTCCGTCAGACCTCACTACCCTATCCGTCTACAGTTCCTGCAGCACCTGCTTACCTATGGGTACCATTGGGTTCTCCCGGGTCTTGCGAAGAAATTTTTCCTTGAAGCTTTCTTGAGTGCTGTAGATACTGGGGCTAAAGCCCTCAATGACTGGGGGCTGTGATGGTTCAAAGGGTGCCCCGGGAGCCACAGGACCAGGAGCCGCCATGCTCCCGGCAACTGCTTTGGGAGAAAATACGGACGCTAAGCTCCGCCTCCTGATGAGGTCATGGAAGGGGAGGGGGAAAAGGAATTTGCTGAGCTTGTACGCAGGCGCCAACCGCTCATTGCACTCTGGGAATCGTGGTAATCGGCCTGATGTCGCTCTAGGGAGGACTACATTTCCCAAAAAAGCCTGCAAAGCCCTCGCGCGCATCCGCCGGACGTGGTCTGCGACACGAGGTGCTGCGAGTGCGAGCCACCCCAGTTATAGGTTGCCAGTTCGGTGGTCAGGACAATGCCCAAGGCCAAGGGGAAGACCAGGAGACAGAAGTTCGGTTACAATGTTAACCGGAAGCGTCTGAACCGGAATGCTAGACGGAAAGCAGCGCCACGGATCGAGTGGTGAGGGGACCAGGGTTTAGGAGGCAGGGGACCTCGGCTGGGACGGCCGGCGAGATGACGGTTCCGCGATCTCTCTCTCTCTCTTTGCCTGTAGTTCCCACATCCGACATGCCTGGGACCATGCCAGATCCGTGCGGCAGAATCTGGCCGAGATGGGGTTGGCTATGGACCCCAACAAGGCGGTGCCCCTCCGTAAGAGAAAGGTACTGACAGGGTAGGGTCCCGGCCCTTGACCCCTGTTTCCCACCATACTTAGCTGGGTTTCATAACTTCTTCGTGTCCGTTGCCACGCTCACGCTTTTCCTGGGTTTGCGACCTTCCCACAGCCAACTCCGGCAGCCAGCACTGACTGTGGTTGAAAGGCTCTTTACCACCACCCTCCTACTCCCCAGCACACAGTGAACCTGGACTGGGGCTCCCCCCTTTTCTTCTCCACTCATTTTTTTCCTCCCTCCGAAATTAACCTGTTTGGGTCCCTTGGCATCTCAGTAGTATTTCCCAGAATTTATCTTTTTCTGCCCTTAACTCTCCTAATAAGGACTCCCCAGAGTTTGGAATTTTTACTTACTCTTCCTTACACCTTTCCCTGTCATCTAGTTATCCTTGGTCTGAGGCTTCCTTAGTTTCTCCCAAATAAGTCTTTTTCTGCACCAGGCTTTCAAAAATAGGACTTTTTTAACTCAGTAATTTCTTCCCTGCTTTAATTCATAGCACTTGTAAATACTTGGTGGTATTTTATATATTTATCTGTTTAATGTCTGTGCCTCTTTTCCTCAACGTAATCTCCTTGGGGACAAGGATTTTGTGTTTTGTCCAGTGGTGCTTAGGATGTGACTAGTGCTCAATAGTTAACTTAATGAATGGACTAAGATTTTATTTATTTTTTGGGGGGGGGCAGGGCAGACAGAGAAGCAGACTCCCTGCTGAGTAGGGAGCCTGACACGGGGCTCGATCCCAGGACCCTGAGATCATGACCTGGGCTGAAGGCAGATGCTTAACTCACTGAGCCACTGAGCCACCCAGGCACCCCTGTCCCATTGCTTTTAGACAAGTTTCTTTTTATCCCTTCATGCCAGAGGAAAATGGCACTACTGTTTCTTGATCCAATGTGAAGCTATAGCCAAACACTGTCAGGTTGCTCCTTTTCGTAGAGAAGATATCTGATATCTCCTCATTGTAAACTATGAAAAGCTTTCATGGGCATTGTTTCACTTGATTAGCACACATGGGGTGAGGTAAGCAAGGAGTATTATGCCCACTTTATAGATAGGCACAGAAAGATGAATTGCTTCCTTGAGTCCCTTTTGGAAACTGTAAAGCCTCCGGGGCATTGGTTCTCTCTGTCATCTATTCCTGCCTGCATATGTGTAGAGATTCTCATGGGTAATGCAGTTGTGTTGGGATGGGCAGGACCCTCTAGAATTTTCCCTCATCCAGGATCCTTCCTTTGTCTACTGGTCTCATATGCTCTGTTCTCTGCAGGTAAAGGCCATGGAGGTGGACGTAGAGGAGAGGCCTAAGGAGCTTGTACGGAAGCCCTATGTGCTAAATGGTGGGTGCTGGCCACATTCCTCTAGGTCACCATCCTGCACAGTCAGGGCTAGAAAGGGCCCTCAGATGTCTTCATTTTACAGATGGAAAAAGAACAGCCTCAGAGGGAAGAAGGGAGCTGGTCTGGGGCTCACAAAGTTAAGACTGTGTCTATGACTGGGACATTTTCAGTCTACTTACTAAACTCACACGTGTGAAGTAAGGTCAGAGATGTTCAGGGAGGATGCAGCCAGGGGCTTGAGAGGATAGAAATGAAACCAGTGAGTCTCAAGCACGTGTTCAGCTTGTCATGAATTTAAGGATGAACAGATTTTTATAGAGATTCCACCATCTCATGTAATCTTTTCAGTGACAAATCAATTTCATGTATATTAATGCTATAGAGACTGAATATTAAAACAGAGCAGAGTAAATTCTGCAGGAAAGCAGGAATACTCCGAAATTCCCCACCCATCTTCCTCTTACCTGTCCAAGATGTTTAATGGTTCTCCTGAAGTTAAAAGGGTTTTAAATGGCCAGACATTTGATAGAGAATTCCTTGAGTTCCTATCAGTGATTCTCATAAGAATTACTACACAGGATTGCATAAATAAAGTAAGGTGTACTTATTGTCAAATTTTAAAACTTTCTCATTCTTTAAAGAATTTTTAAAATTCGTGGTAAAACACATACCACATAAAGTTTATCATCTTAATCATTTTTAACTATATAGCTCAGTAGTGCTAAGTATGTTTATGTTGTCATGCATTAGATGTCCAGAACTTTTTCATCTTCAAAAGTGGAACTCTACCCATTAAACAACTCCCCATTTCCCTACCTCCCCACCCCCAGCCCCTGGCAACCAAGTCAAAGATAATTTTGACTATAAGCAATTTAGCACTTAACCCCTAGATAACATTTGACCACCTTGTTTCCATGAGTTGTTTTTCTCCTAGTTGAGAAATGGGGAGTATTTGCCTAGCTATTTAATTTAATTAATTTTAAAGATTTATTTATTCAGAGAGCGAGGGAGAGAGCGAGAGTGGGGGGAGGAGCAGAGGGAGAAGGACAAGCAGACTTCACGCTCAGCGCGGATTCCGACACGGGGCTCTATCTCATGACCCATGAGATCATGACCTGAGCCGAAACCAAGAGTTGGATGTCTAACCGACTGAGCCACCCAGGCGCCCCTAGCTATTTTAACAGTGAAGCCATGATTGGCTCCACAGCTTCGCTTTTGCCCTCACCTGGAGCAGTGAGGCACTGGGGCCCAGCCTCAGGCCCTGGTTCCTGTAGCATTTGTTCTCATTCATACCTTTCCATTTCACGTTATTGTAACATTTCAAGAAAAGAAATTCTCAGGGAGTTTTATTTTATTTTTTTATTTTTTTAAAGATTTTATTTATTTATTCGACAGATAGAGAGCACAAGTAGGCAGAGTGACAGGCAGAGGGAGAGGGAGAAGCAGGCTCTCCACTGAGCAGGGAGCCAGACATGGGGCTCGATCCCAGGACCCAAGATCATGACCTGAGCCGAAGGCAGCCGCTTAACTGACTGAGCCACCCAGGCACCCCGTCAGGGAGTTCTAGAGAGATGGAAGGGAGTCCCGACCTATGGTAGGCAGTGTATCTTCATCTCTGTCCCCAGGACCCGGTACTAAGTAGAGGTTAGTAGTTTGGTGCCTACACTTTACCCAGCTGAGACCCAAAGAGAGATGACTTACCTTTTAGGTAGTTGCCACACCCATAGGTGATTGTGTCATGGCCTGGGACTCCAGGGACTGAAGAGCACTGCATTTGGGGATGGAGAGGCAGAGCCCATCTGATGGCCATGGTTTGGGATGGGGTAAAAGGATGACTGGGCAACTCAGAAAGTGCAGAAGGCAAAAACTCATTTTCTGTGTCCTGGTTTTTCTCACCCCAGACCTGGAGGCAGAAGCTAGCCTTCCAGAAAAGAAAGGAAACACGCTGTCTCGAGACCTCATTGACTATGTGCGCTACATGGTGGAGAATCATGGGGAAGACTATAAGGTGAGTGGTTCGGGCCTGGCAGGAAGAACCACTTGGGTCTGTTGGGAAGGCACCCTCGACCATTTGGGGTTTGATCCGCTTGTCTCTTGCCTGAGGTGAGGAACCTGGACTTCAGGGACATGAAGTGGTTTGCCCAACTCAGGCAGTACTGGGACTTGAACCTTTGCCTCTGTCTAGCCCTCCTCAAGTGGCCTTTCTCCCTTCTTAGGCTATGGCCCGGGATGAGAAGAATTACTATCAAGATACCCCGAAACAGATTCGGAATAAGATCAACGTCTATAAGCGTTTTTACCCAGCGGAGTGGCAAACTTTCATTGATTCTTTGCAGAAGAATAAGATGGAGGTTGAATGATTGACTATACCTGCCTCAGGCTGAGGTCTCCTCCTGGACCAGAGAAGCTCCTTAAGGCAAGGAGGGGCATGTGGCCAGATGGGGCTGGCCAAACCCCATGGAATCAGAAGGTTGCGCACACACTCACACTCCCCTTTCTGGGGAAGGGACTGTCTCCACGAGGCTTCTGAGGGCCCTGAGAAAAGCCAGAACCTACTGTTTTCAGAGTGGGTGGTTTGTTTACATATATCTGTACATAATAAAACAAGACTATTTTACTGCTCTGGTGGTTGTGTGTTCCCCTTGCAGCCAAGCCCTGGGACTGCCCCTGTGAAAACCCACTGAGCCGGGGCAGAGAGGACATCCTGCCCCTTACGTGCCACATTCCCACACCCTCTTAGGTGTGGCCTCCCTCCTCTTGTCCCGTGTTCTGGTTCCATTGCTCTGCCTTGGTTTCCTGCCCGGCATTAAGCCTTGTACAGAAGCCTGCTGCTAACGCTGCGCTGCTTGGGAGGGGTCTGTCGCACCAACACTAGCCCCCCTCCCAGGCCGGAGGCGAGTAGACTGGCTCGAGGGCCAGAGGGTAAGTAGCTGTACTGCTGCCTCCTTGTGACTGGCCTTCACTGCTCGTCTTCAGATTGCTTGCCCTGAAAGGAACCCGAGGCCCCCAAATCTGCTGAGACTGTTGGACTGCTGAATAGCCCTCGACTGTGTGCCACACTGGCCATTCTCTGGGGCAGGCCTACCTAGTTTGGTGATGTGGGGTGATGACTCACATAGCAGGGTCACAGGCACATTGTGGGGTGGGCACCGGGCATTTTCTGCTTTTGATACTTTATCTTCAGCTATTATAATACAAAACCCCTCTCATTCCTAATGCTCCCCCTAGAAGGGCCCCTCACATCTGGTTCTTACTGCTCTTAAAAAGGACTTGGTATTTTTACATAGATCATTTCACATAAAACCCTGTGAGGTATGTGGCTTTATTGTTTTACAGGTAAGGAAACAGGCTTGAGAGGCCAGTATGACGTTTGAAGTTAGTCCAACGGCTAAGCCTGGACTTTCACTCTCTCTCCTTCCCTACAGCTCTTGAAGGCAGCCCATCAGTCCCATACTCTCAGGGCAGGCTGGAAACGGACAGGGTCCCAGAAACCCCTCCTATGGGACCCAGCTGGCTTAGCCCCCAGCAGTGACTGGCCCTTGTAAGCAGCGTGCACACAGCCTTTGGAATTTAGTCTGAAGCTGGGGACTTCTTTTTCTTTCAAGTAGGCTCCATGCCCAATGTGGGGCTTGAACTCATGACCGTGAGATCAAGAGTTACATGCTCTCCAGACAGCCAGCCAGGCACCCCACTCATGAGGGTTTTTATTTGGCCTCGTAACGTCCTCCATAGTATTCCAAATTCAGGCCTTGACAGCTGTCCCCTTGTTTTTTTACCCAATTCAGGTGCCAATTTTGGGAAGCTTTTCCTGCCACTGTCCCCCATCCTTGGGCTGTGTAAGTCTCCTGTCATCCCTACGTCCCAGACTTCCTGTAGCAATACATACCAGTCATAACTGCCTTGTAATCTGCTGGACATCCCCTGCCAGACTGGGCTTGAGTGCAGGCACCTTCCCTGGGAATCCAGAGCTGAGCCCAAGGCAGGTGCTGGGGGAATGCTCCATCCTGACTTCCGGTCCTGTCAGCTAGAACTCCCAAGGAATGGCAGCCAGGTTTGGATACTTCCCAAGAGGTACGAAGTTAGGCCAAAGCCCAAGTTCCTTAGCATTTCCATGTGGGCTGAAGGGCCAGAGGACTGGGATTTGCTGTTGACAAATGATTGTGTCCCTGGAAGTATTCTGGGATCACCTTCCATACCTGCCCCTCACTAGAGAACTGTGAGCACCCAGCATATACTCCTCAAAATCAGAATTCAAATGAAACCATATCCAAGTTTTGGGCATTTATTGTGTGCCTCAAACAGCCACTGGCTCTCCCTTATGTGGTCTGTCCTTGGCAACCCTGTGGGTCTGGATTTGTCGGGCTTGGGCTGGGACAGCAAGGCCTCTTTACTTCCAGATCTCTGATGGGAATTCTCCCCTCATGGTCCCACCTCACACAGGCAGCAAATGAGGAAAAGTTGGAGGTTCTTTTCATAGCTACTAGAAAGGACTGAAGCTGTGTGAGCCAACAGATGTGACAGAAAGACGGCTCAGACTATTCCAGGTCTGAGGTGTGGGCCGGAACCACACGTGAGCTTCAGCAGCTAGTTCAAAGTGCTGGCAGTTGCTATGAAGCATAAGAACAAAATGTTTTCCCAAGACGGGTGGGAACATTTTTTGCAGAATCTAGTGTTTCATTCAGCCAGACAGGCAAGAGTCCTCAGATTTTCATCAGTACCTCTCTGTGGAGGACTGGGAGCGCTGTGATAGACTGATTTCACCACCCACCCCCGTCCTTATGGCTGGATACCAGTGTGTCAGTGCAAGAGGTACCAAGAGGTACCCGAGGAGGCTCCTTGGGATTAGCAGCCAGTCAAGTTGGTTGGTTGGGAGCCTTCTTGCTTAGACCATCCACATGACCAAGCTTTGGGCCAAGTTGGCCTCTCCTCAGAGGGTTGACAGCAGGTGAGAGAATGGAAAATCAGAAGCCACACTGCATTAAGTAATTCTTAAGACCAGAAGCCGTCAGTGCCAGGGTGAATGATCAGGCATCGGTTCAACAGGCAAGCAGAAGCAGAAGCTTCCCTTCGACGTGGCGTGCCCACCTGCTCTCTCAGATCAGGAGCCTGCCTTCCAGTTGCCTTCATTAGAAAAGGAGAGGGGCTGACATCTAACCCCTATCCCATGTTCAGCTAATTTGGGAGCTGTAGTGTTGGGGCAGTCTTGTGGGGGCAGTGTTACCCAGGCCAGCTCAGAAAACTCACTTTGAGATGAACTCCAGATAATGGCTGGTTCCCAGGAGCAGGTGATCTGGGCTGGTGAATCAGAAAGTCATGCTCAGGAGCAACTGGGTAAGAGCGCCACAGGCCAGGCATACGACTGTTCACAAGAGAGGCCTGTTGCTCTACTTTGCCCAGTCTAGTCCTGGCAGAAACTAGAGCGGATGAGCGCTGTTTGGCGCTCTACCTGGAGGACAGGCCAGCAGTCCCAGTAGAGCACAGTGGTCAGCCACAGATGTGATGAGGCACACCCGCAGGTCAAGAGATGATCTGTATTCTGCACAAGCATCAGAGGGGTGGTACTCTGGACCTTCAGCACCGCCCCCTAGTGGTGTGCGTCTTCTGGTGTACCACTGGGACCTGTCAGTTCTGGGAGTGGTCTTCAGAAGTTGCTCAAATAGGTATAGTTATTGTAAAACTATTCAAGTTCACTCCCCTCACTGGGGACTTTGAAACTTGTATTACATAATGATACTCATTAGACCAAAGGCAGATCTTAACTAGAAAAGGGTGCCCTACAACAATGCTGGTTCCAGAGGTAAATGTCAAGCACTGGAGAACAAGGTGGGGTTTACAGAACAAAGAAGTAAAGTTTCACAATCTTTCAATGTCAAAATGAAAAGCTGTCTGCAAAATTTCAAAGGCTACTCTAAAAGCCAAGTCATTCCTTAAATATTTAAAATAAAAGCAGACAAATCTTTCTTCGGCAGGAAGTTAATCAGAATTTCAAAGAACAGTGATTCTGTTGATACACCCACAGCCCAAGAGCACAGCAGGCCACTAACTACAGTCACACTTCTGAACTTCCGGAGCATACCACCCACCTTCCCTCCCTGTGCCTCTTCTCACGTAGGCCACAGCATGGAACTGAGGCACACTGAGTCAATGTCAAGTGAAATGAAGGCACATCATCTCTATTTTCAATTAAAAAGCAAACTGAGTTGGATATCTCCTCAAAAGAAGTCCCTCTGTGGCTATTGATTACTCAATGGCCCCTGGCTGACAAAAGGCTCCTTCCTTTGCCCGTACTAAAGAGAAGTGTCAATATATAGATAAACTAGCTGATCACCAGAAACAGAATCATGGAGTGTGCACTGGAGAGAAGAGAAATTCTGTCCAACTTTTAGTTGGGGAATCAGCAGGTCCAGAAAGGCTGCGGTAACCAAAGCCTCAGGTACCCTGTTGACTGATCTGCTAATTCCCATTTCTTTTTACCTGGATTTACATGATTGAAATCTCCTCTCCTAGACTCACCATCTACACAGAAGGGGGTTGTGTCCTTTTGACGTACTGGGCCAAGTGGTGGAGTTTAAGTTTCATGTGGATCAACGTAAAGTAAGATACCGATTATAGCTGTAAATGATGGGGGAGAGCTAGAGCTTTGTCTCCACTGATATGTGCAGGTTATCACATGTCTCACAATCCCAGCTATTTTCATCAAAGACACAGATTTTCCATGACAGTCATCTGGGGTTTTGATAACAGCACCTAGACACAGAACCTGAAACTTTGGTCTGTTCCTTGTATAAATAAATAAATAAATAAAACGCAGTTCTGAGGCCAACACCCAGCTCCAGTTGACAGTCTTCTCCCCAGGCACATAGGCTCCTTCCCGACTTCTGGAAACATGGGCATTGGCACAGTTAATGCAAGAGCAGCAGCTTCTGTCTCCACGTGTGGGGGAGAAAAGCCTTTCGTTTTTCTGGCGAGGGGTGAATACCGCTTGATGCCATCGTCTAGCGGGCAGGCCTTGGCTTGCAGAAGCAGGGAGGTTTCAGAAAACTCCCTGCTAGGATCTCCAGGTTCGTCCTAGCCCTTCTTACCTTTATGGCTGGAAACTCTATCTCCAAATTAGAAAAAAACATGGAAATCACCCCTTTAAAGTGATGGTCCCAGGGCCTCGAGCCAGCTGGGTGGAGCTGGGGCTGCAGGACACTTTGGGCCTTGGAGCCAAGGCTGACTGTGTACTGCCCAGAACCGGCCTGCATGAGAGGGGCGGGAGGTCACCGGGAGGGACCGGTTCCCGCAGTACTTCTGACACGACCCCAGTTCTCAATCACCGGGACCGGCAGAGGGGAGAACTGAGCCCGCTGAGCACCTCACTGCGCACACCAGAGAAGGAGGGTGCCTTCCATGGGAGAAGCTGGATCCACTTCCAGCCTGGAGTGAGCCTCACCTGACTCCCCACTTCGGCCTCATGGCCACAGCACCAGGAAGGCTTCTGTGTGGTTCCTGGCCTTGCCCAGGCCCCGCTCTGGAGGACAGGCGGAGAGAAGGGATGTGCTGCCACGTGGCTCCTGCCTCGGGCCCATGCTGGCAGCGGGAAGCAGGAGCGGCCGGACTGGGGTCTCCAGGGTTGGCTGGCGAGTGAGGCGGCGGGGGCAGCCTAGGAGAGAAGCTCCAAGAGCAGTCTCCAGATATGCACGGTGCCGGGGTCTTCAAAGCCGGGTCCTGCAGGGGCGATGCTGGCTGCCAAGAGGAAAACCTCCCGCTGGCTATCGACAGCCTGCAGGCCCAGCTCCTCCTGCAGCTCCACCATACTCATGGACTCACTCAGGTCCTGGGATGAGACGGAGAAGCCAGTTGGAACAGAGCTCCCAGTTTCCCAGCACCCACACTGTCCTCCATGCAAAGAATTGTTCTTTGGCTATCCTGCAGAACACTGGGGCCTAAGTTCCCAGAAGTGGCCTCTGGGCCCCTTGGTTGAAATTCTCTTCCTCATCTCTGACTTTCCTTTGTTACCAACCCCTTTTCACACCACCATTAACCACTGTGGTGAGAAAACAGCACTTCCTATAAGCCAGGCATTGTGAGAGGCACTTAGACTTATTCTCATTATTATAGTTTATAAATAGAATGATGATGTAATTCACCATCTAAACCAGGGCACTTCTGAGACTTAAAGTGGGCACTATTAATCATTATACCAGAACAACAGGCATAAATGGGGACCATCCCAGGCAGACCAGGGCATATTTATAAATGATTGTCAAGGATTTTCCGATAGGGGAAACTGGGGCAAAGACGTATAGCTTTTCTCCCAGTCAGGTTGGAAACAAGTGCCATGGCTCTCAGAGACATGGGCTAGGCCACAGGAAAAATGACAGAACTCCGTACTGTGACAAGGTTTTACCTGGTATTTATTGAGAAAGGCACCTTGAGCCTGTGATGCCGAGGGTTGCTGGGCCAAAGGCCCAGGAGAAGTATAGTGTGGTTAAGAACAGGATCTTTGAGGAAGATCTGAGTTCAAGTCCCGGCTTCGCCACACACCAGTCTTAACTTTGGGCACTGAGGGATAATAATAAGGCTTATCATGGGGTTTTGTAGGATTTAAGTGAGGTCATGATTGTCAGGTGCTTAGCCTGGCACGCTATAAGCACACTTATAAATGTTATTTATTACTGTTATTTCAACCTGCTCAAGGGATGAGGAAAACGCACAGGTAGAAGAGTGAGGGACAGCATCTCAGCCAAGTGCTCCAGGTCACAGGCCTGGGCCTGAATCTCTCTCCTGTGCTCCCTGCCCCTGCCCAGGGATCAGTGGATCAAGTCCAACTGGTCTAAGCCAGCCTCCCGTGGCCCTCACCTGCTTGTTGGCCACCACAACGACAGGTAGGTCAGGGTCCTTGTCCAGCAGCTTGTGCAGTTCCTGCCGGGCCCAGGGCAGCCGCAGCCGGTCAGCCGAGTCCACCATGAACACCAGCACGTCTACTTCATTCACAAACTCCTTCCAGTAGAAGCGTAGGTTCTGGCTGCCACCGACTGAAGAGAGGCCAGAGGCCAGCTCAGAGCCTCCCTGGGCCCTGGCTCTCTACATATAGCCCCAAGACCACCCCACTTCCAGCTTCCCAAGGTTCCACCAGCCAGGGGCAAGGAAGACCACAGGTTCTGGAGCCAATCTGGTTTAGCTCTGGCTCTGACAGCTGGGGCTCCCTGGGCAAGTCACTACCTTTGAGCAGCAGCGTTCTCCCTCTCACTGAACTTACCCACTAACAGGTTGCAGCAAAACCCAAAGGTACCATACGCAACACACCTTTCATAGACTGGCATACAAGGTGCTCATTTCCTGGGCTACTTCCTGCCAATTCCTAGCTTTCTCCCCGGACAGTGATGGTGTGGTCAGAAGCCAGGACTCCCTGACCAGCCTATGCACAGCCATTCTCCATTCAGTGTCTCCTGTTCAGTTTGGTCACCCCATTTTCTTTCCTTGCAAATACCATACTCAGTCCTAGCACTACATGGCCACCCACGTAGTAACCCCAACCTGGGTTGCCTTCTTGTCCCTCTGCACAGTCCCCATTAGCCACACTGCATCCTAGTGTTTCTGGTATACTTCTGACACTTGTGGACTCTATGCTCTTTAAGGAGCTGTTTACATCTGGATCCCCCCAAAGCCCTCAGCACAATGCCTGGCACATAGCAGGCACTCAACAAATATTTACTGAGTGCTTACTAGGTGCCAAGCACTGATCTGGGTGCTGGGGATACAGAGGTGAGCAAGGCAGACAGGGCCCTGATCTCAAGGAGCTCCCTCTGTAACCAAGACAGACACAGCAATAGCAGGTAAGCACATTTCAGAAAGGAAATAAAAGAGAAAAGTGAAAACGACTGGGGTGGCTTTGGATTGGGTGGTCTGAGAAGGTCTCCCTGAGGAGGCAGCATGGGAATTGAGTCTGGGATAATGAGAAGGAGCTAGCTAAGGGAAGAGGCAGAGGAAAGCATTACAAGCAGAGGGAAGAGCAAGCTCAATGTGTTTGAGAAACAGAAGGCAGCCAGTGTGGCCAAGGCAGTGCCAGCGGAAGAGGGGAAAAAGCCACAGCCGACGAGGTCGGCCAGGGCTTGACCACACAGGGGCTGTCAGGCTACAGTGAGGCCATTGGGGAGCCCCTTAAAGGTTTTACGCAAGAGTAACATGGGTTTCTGAAAGACACTGCTGGCTGACAGTAGGGGACAGAAGTGAAAACAGGAAGACCAGCAAGGAGGCTATTATAGTCCTGAGATGATGGTGGTTCGGACCAAACAGGCAGTGGTGGAAATGGGGAGAAGTGGACAGATGCACAATCTATTGGAAAATAAAGCTGAAAGAACTAGCTAATAAAATGGACAGGATACAGAAAGTGGGGGAAGGGGGGAGAAGGGAAGAGTCATCAAAGATCCACAAAGGGCTCATCTTGGCTGGGCTCTAGGTGTAGACCATAGCCAAGTGAGTATCGTGGGAAGGGAGAGTTCCAGTTCCAGGACTTGAATGGGAGATCTGGGTTTGAATCCAGGAGCGACCCTATCAAACCTCAGACTCTTCGGTAATATGAAAACACCAAACCCCTTCTCCCAGGGTTCGGGGTTGGGGGGTACTCTCTCTGCCAGAGTGGGAGTCAAGTGCAGAATCCCACTTGACCCTTTTGCATCCTTGGCACAAGAAAGGGAGACAGGGAAAATCTTGTTTAAAGGACCAAATTCCAGGTGAATATCAATGTTTGCCACAATCAGGGAGGAAAGATATAACCAGGCCCTCAGAGTCTGATCCCACCACCTAGTGCTTAACCAGTCTTTATTGTCTGAGCCCTTTGGCTGGCAGGAAGTCCACTAATCTCTCCCATCAAGTCTGTAGTTGGGACACAGGTGGCTAAGTACTGCTGTCCTCTCAATAGCCCCTCTGCCAACCTCTCCTGGAATCCCCCTGAGGACAGGGGCTGCCCAGACCGTCTCTTATCACTCACTCAACAAGCTCTCCCAGGTACCTGCTTGAGGCTGGGCCCTAGGGGCCAAAGCTGGATCAGACTCATCTGTGCCCCAGATGCCTAGTCAGGGACATAGGCTGGTATGTGGCAAATACCAGCTCAGAGGAAGAGCCCTTAACCTAGCTTAGGAGTCAGATAAGGTTTCACAGGGATATCATCATGTTTGACCTAAATCTTTTTTTTTAAGAGAGTCATTCTTCATTTTTTTATTTTTTAGTAGGCTTCACACCCAAAGTGGGGCATGAACTCACGACCCTGAGATCAAGTAGATGCTCTACAGACTGAGCCACCCACATGTTCCTGACCTAAATCTTGAAGGAGGTGTAGCAGTTTATTAAGGGAAGAAGGGCTTTCCAGACTGAGGGAACAGTGCAAGCACAGGATGGAAGAAAGAAAACAGCAAGTACCCTTCAGAAACAAGCAATGTAACATGGTGCTTAACACTGAGAGTCTCCAGGGGCACCTGGGTGGCTCAGTTGGTTAAGCGTCTGCCTTTGGCTCAGGTCATGATCCTGGTGTCCTGGGATGGAGTCCCGCATTGGGCTCCCTGCTCAGTGGGGACCCTGCTTCTCCCTCTTCCTCTCTCTCTCTCTCATGAATAAATAAATAAAATCTTAAAACAAAACACTGAGAGCCTCCAGCCAGAGAGTCTGCATTAGCAGACTGGCAAGCTGGGTGAGCCAGGATAAATTATTTAACTTGCTGGGCCTCCCTTTCCTCATGTATGTAACAAGGGTAATAACTGTTTCCAGTTTTTCCAGTTGTTGGGAGGATTTTATTAAGTAATGCCTCTCAGATGCTTGGCATAGAGGTAACTTTAGCTTTTGGTATCTCAGTATTAGGCATGTGAGCTTCAGTTGGGGTGAGGGACAGGCAGTGACCAAGCTGGGATTGCCCAATCATGAATGGCCCATCATGTCAGAATACAGAGCTTGGACTATATCCTGTGCCCCAGAGAGGCAGGGGAAGAATGTCACAGAGGGACGTGTCCTGCTTAGATATACATGCTGGAGCCACCCCCAAGCAATGATCCCCGGCTTGGGTCCAACTGAGGTGATGGGGAGACGGTGTGTGTGTAGGGGGTCTGCTCACTCTCTAGCAGGTCCACCTCGAAGTCCTTGGTGGGCAGCCGCACAGAGTTGAAGCCCCAGGTGGGGATGTGGCCTTCCAGCGGAGGCTTCCCGGACAGCACGCGCAGGAACGTGCTCTTCCCGGAGCCATCCAGCCCCAGCACCAGCACCTCGCGCTGCTCCAACTCCTCCAGCACTGGCTCTTCGTCTTCCTCCTCTTCAGGCTGTGGGGCACAGGTCAGGTTGCGGCCGGCACCCTCCCGCCGGACCCTTCCCGAGGGAAGACCGAAGACACCAAAGCGCCCATCCCCGCCCTCCACCTGTCAACCGGCAGGCAGGCAGTTACGGTCTGGTGCAGTGGGACCAGCGCTGCCTCGGGACTCCTGAATCTCAAACCCCGTTCTTCTGGCTTTTCCTGAGTAACCTCGGTGAAATTTCTTCCCCTCGCGAAGCCTCAGCCTCCTTAGACTGACAATCCCCACGTCCCAGGGTCGCAGGGTCCACCGCAGGGGAAAAATTCGCAACCCGCCCCGGGGCTGGAGGCCTCTCCCGGCATGCCCCGGGCCGCGGGCCGTGCGCACTGCGCAGGCGCCGGGCGAGCGCGGGCTGGACCCGGCGCGGTCCCGACATCGCTCCGGGGCCGCGCCCTCGGAGCTCCGGCGCCCACGAGGAAGCCCGGGTCTCGCGGCCGCGCAGGGCGGTGCCACACACCCCCCGAAACGCCCACCCATTCCTCAGTTCTGGGACTCACGACTGCCCCGCGGCTGCCGCGCGCCCTTTCGCCAGGGGCCTGCGGGCTGCGGCGCCAGGTCCCCTACCCAGGTGCTTCTGCCCTCGCGGGGTGTCACACCCCTCAGCTGCACGTGCGGAGGCCCAGACCCCGGCCCTGCACTCACGTCCCACTCGTCCCACTCAGGGAGGCGGGCAGGCTCCGCGCCCCACCAGGCCTCGCCCCGGTCCCAGCGCCGCTCCCGTCCACGCCCGAAGTAGGCCTTCCAGAGGATGAAGAGTACTGAGCCCAGCACGGCCGCGGCGCCACCCAGCGCCAGCACCAAGGGGCTCAGCGGCCGCGGAGCCATCGGGCCGGGCGAGGGGCACGGGTGCGGGCTGCACAGGCCGAACCACCTGGCCCGCGGAAGATGGCCCCGCTGCGACTGCGGCGGCCGCGCCCACCCACCCAACCTCAGCCCCGCACTACAAGCCCCACAATGCACCGTTGCTGTCGCGACAGGCGGCCCGAGCCTCGGCGGCGGGAGTGGGGGCGCTGACCGGAGCGCGGGGACTTCCCTCTCCCGCTGCTACGTGCGGTGGGGAGCTGGAGGCTGTGCCTGGGCAGGACGGGAGCCGGTGATATTGGCAACTCCCGAGCACTTGCTGTATGCCTAGTGGATAACTGACCAGTGTTCTCGGTTACTCCGTAAAACAGTGTTTCCTAGAATGGAAAGCGGAGGCCCAGGTCGCACCGTAGTGCATTGGTACAGCCGGCACTCAAACCCCAAGCGATGTTTCCTGGGCATCTCAGGACCTCGGGGAACAAATTGAGGCAAGTCACACGGCTGTGGGGTGGCAGGTTATGAAATGGCAGAGGTAGAACTGGAACCCGGGTCCCTGACTTTTAGTACTCTACCCTCCCTTGGCTGCTTCCCAGACCCCAGGAGATCTGCTGTCTTGGGGTCCTGAGCGTGCTAATGAAGCAGGCAGGATAAGGGGTCCGTGTTTAGATCTCCTGATCACCTAGTCCTCCGCGACTTCCAGTGGCTGCCAAGGTGTCCAGGTGTAGCAGGAGAAACAGCCTGAGGTACTTCAAAAGAGGACTCCATGAGGGGCTGCAGAATGAATAGGTGTTTTTATTGTAAGCAACCCCAAGCCATCTTGTTGACCAGGAGCGTCTCCGGGTTCTTTTCTGGTCATTTGCGGGTAATGCTCAGATCTCTCTTGTTTCAGGAAACTGTCCTCCCTCACTGGTTACTACCTCTCCTTTTCACTGCAGTCCTACTTCTGGGTAATGTGCGTTTCCTATTTTTCGCCCAACCTATCCAAGGAAACTTTCACCCGGGTCTCTAACAAATGCTTCCTTGTTAAATCCGTTGGTAACATCTTAGTTCTTATTTTGCTTGACCTCCTTGCACCATTTAACACGGTTAAATGGGGTCTTAGCAGAGATGCTGTTCAAAACCTGGCCAGGGTGCCAGCTCACTCCTTGAGGGATCACCTCCCTGGTGAGACAGGGGTGCAAGATTCCCAAAGAGAAAAATTAGCACCAGTGAGTTTATCCAGAACTTTGCAGTCAGAACATTGAAAAAAAAATTTTTTTAAGGGGTTTATTCTTGGCATTCATGTAAGTTTTATGTCATTTCAAAAGAGAGCACCTTAATCCCTTGAGAGCTAAAGGCTCTTGGAGGTCTAATTTGGCCTTACCTTACCTTTCCTGCCTCCTGACACACACAGTGGGTGATCATCCTCTTGTCTCTCAGCTGGAGTTCAGTCACCCTGGGTCGTGTCTCTGCCTGAAACTGTCATTCCACTTGAGGATGTTGACCAGGCCTTTGTCATCTTGGAGTCTGATGTGCTTAGTATAAGAATGAGGCCCAGAGAGACGCCTGGGTGGCTCAGTTAAGCGTCTGCCTGTGGCTCAGGTCATGATCCCAGGGCCCTAGCATGGGGCTCTCTGCTCAGTGGGGAGCCCGCTTCCCCCTCTGTGTGCCGCTCACCCTGCTTGTGCTCGCTTTCTCGCTCTCTCTCTTTCTCTGACAAATAAATAAATAGATAAAATCTTTTAAAAAGTCCCTTTAAAAAGAATGAGGCCCAGAGTTCACACTTAAAGATTTGGAGAATTGGATCAATTGCACGTGCTCCTCCCTTGGCCTCTATGACACATTCTTTTCTTCATCTTCTTCCTCTCTAACCAATCCTTTTCAGTCTCCTTTTGCCTAGCATTGACTGCCATTAGCTGAAACTAACTGGACCATTTGGCAAGGAAACTTTGGAAATGGAATTGTCAGGAGTTACCCCCCTGTCATACAGAGCAGAGCAGGTGAAGGGTGAGGGATGGAGCCATGAGTCAACAGGCACATGACCAGCATAGTCCACCCCTTTGCATCCAGTTTTACTCTTATATCCATTTTTAACTTTGTGCTTCCACATACCATGATGCAATATCCATCAGAAAAATAGTCACTCTCCACCTTCTGAAAAAAGAGAAGGCAAAGTCCCATCTGTCAATATATCCATCTCTGGGTGATGTTAATTCCTCTTCAGTCGTAACCCCATCTGGATATTCTACAATTAAAGATTAAATTATAGAGGCGCCTGGGTGGCTCAGTTGGTTAAGCAGCTGCCTTCGGCTCAGGTCATGATCCCAGGGTCCTGGGATCGAGCCCCTCATCGGACTCCCTGCTCAGAGGGGAGCCTGCTTCTCCCTCTCCCTCTGCCTGCTGCTTCCCCTGCTTATGCTTTCTCTCTCTGTCAAATAAATAAATATAATCTTTTAAAAAAAAAGTTTATAAAGATAACCACTGCCACCTTTACTTATACAGTCCAGCTTCCATATTGCTACACAGCAGTCTTTACAAAAGAAAAGCTGGCAATGTCATTTTCAGGTTAAAATTCTTTAGTGGCTTCCCATCCCCACCAGGATAAGTACTACGTGTCTCTGATGATGGAGCAAGAAGGGCAGCATGGAACTGACATTTAATGATCATATACTATACATCAGGCTTTGTTCTGGTGTAAAATGTACTGCTGTGCAAACATTTGTCTGTCTTCATCTCCTGGGAATTGTTTTCCTAATGATTGCATTAACTGAAAACCTGCCATGTTTATATGACACTTGGCATGAATAATTAGTCCAAGTGTAATGACTTGGATCAGGCTGGACCAAGGAGACCCTTCCATGGGATTCTTAAATTTGTTACCCAGTGTCTTGAGATCAATCTGTCTTGGGTGGATTAAGATGTAAAACTTACCACCTATAGACAGCCATTTTCCCCACCTATAAAGAAGAGGGCTTGAGGTCAAAGAGGCTGAGGTAGAGCAGGAAAGGCAAAGACAGAAGGCAGAGCTGGAATCCTGGTGCCATTTGCATCTGTGGGTACTAGTTATTCCTAAAGTCCAGGGTATATTTGTGTTCAACCCTTTTGTAACTAACTTATTTACTTCCTCCCTCCCTTTCCTCCCTTCCTCCCTTTCCTCCTTCCTTCCTTCCTTCCTTCCTTCCTTCCTTCCTTCCTTCCTTCCTTCCTTCCTTCCTTCTTGTTTCTTTCATCACTATCTGGGAATCACAATATGCCCAATCCACAGGATGCAGCTGCAAACAACATAGCATCCAATGAGGGGACCCGCTTTACAGTGAGAGGTGCAGGAGTGGCTCTCTGACCAGGGGTAGCCAGCTTCAGAGAACACTGGCTTATAAGTATGGCTAAAAGCCTTCTGCTTTTCAGTTATTTATACCTTTGTCATGCCTTTTAGGGAATTTTCTGAACCTGATCTTCATACTTGCTTATTTGGTCCTTGGCTATATCCACTCTGCTATTCACCACAGCCTTTGAGGGCTTTATTTCATATATGGTTCTATAGTTGGTTCTTTATGATTTCTTGTTTCCCCCTTCCAAAATCCTCTCTTTTCTTTTTTAGAGTAATATTTAAAATGCTTATTTTGAAATTAAAAAAATAAAATGCTTATTTTCATTCGTTGTCCTGCCAAGTCCATTAACTCTGGTGTGTCTGGATAAGGTAGTCCTGTATGTTGTCTGTTCTCTCGTTGGGTGTGTGGCCCTCAGGCATTTCTTATCTGCCCCTGTGAGTTCCTCTTTCCTTGGGGCCAGGACTAAGTACCTGGGGGCCGTGGCATAGCCCAAGTGTGGTGTATTCCTGGTGAGTTGGGAAGGAGACTCTGGTGTACAGTCTGCACCTGTAGTTGGTGCCGTCCTGAGCAGCCAGCTGCATCCCTGGAGAACCCCTCTGTTCCTCTCTCCGCCCAGGTAAGACTTACTAGAAGCCACCACCCCCTGTTGCTATAACTTGGTACTTAGGGTCCAGGGAGAAGGAAGATGAGCCATGGAAGAGGCTGCTAGGGTGCCTGCCGGTTCACCCCCCACCCAGGTGGACCTCCCTCTCCCCCGCCAGTGCCTTCTCAGCCTGTGGTAACAATGATAGGATTGGCCAAGGTCTGCCCAGGGCAAGGCAGGGAAGAAGAAAGAGTACCTCTGTCTGAAACCTGACAGGGCCTGATTCCCGTCTTGGAGCTCCGTCATCTGCTCTGGGTTTTGCCATTGTCCACACCAAAGCTGATGGTCATGGGGCTGGTCTCTCTGATTTGCCAGCTTCCCTTTGATTCTCAGGTATCCCCCGATCTGGAGCTGGCTTGTGCTCTCTGCTATCTGGTCAGCTTATCTCCATCTCATAAAAGAGCAAATAAACTTGAGAGAGGAGGTGGTTTCTCCAAAATCATATAGTGAATATATGAGGCAGCTACTATTTGAACCAGGTCTGTGTGTCTTGAAAACCATGCTCTTAGTATATTGTATCTCCCTATACAGACCCTGGAATCTAGGTCCACTCATTTTTTTCAAACTTTTCTTCTAAAAAAGAAGGGAAACTCAAGGGATTGGCTTTGAAGTCTCTCACATGTGTCCTCAGTTGGATTTTAGGAGTTTCATTTTCACAGACGTAGATGAGCTCTTGAGTTGTTCATCATTTTAATTAATCGGCTCTTAATGTTTTTAAATTTTAAAATTATTAAATATGTTGGGGTGCCTGGGTGGCTCAGTCATTAAGCGTCTGCCTTCGGCTCAAGTCATGATCCCAGGGTCCTGGGATCAAGCCCCGCATTGGGCTCCTTGCTCAGCAGGAAGACTGCTTCTCCCTCTCCCCCTGCTTGTGTTCCCTCTCTCTCTCTGTCTGTCTCTGTCAAATAAATAAAATAAAATCTTTAAAATTATTAAATATGTCAAAAAACATGTTCAGATACCCATGTAGTGACTAAAACTCGAGAATTAGCATTTTGCCATATTCTTCTTTATTAGAAAAATTTCAAGCATAACTAAGATGCTATTCCTATCTCCAGAGATAACCATTATCCTCAAGTTGATGTGTATCATTCCCATTCATACATCTCAAAACTTTGTTTTGGTTTAATAATATACATAAATGATATGTGGCACATTCTGATCAGATGTGG